CTTCGCTGCTTCACTGTGTTGGGTGAGTGGTGGCATGGGTGGTATCTTCTGTACAGGAAGAAGCCTCAGAGGACATGTCTGAACCAGTCCCCTTTGTCCTTTTTATCTATCTATCTATCTATCTATCTATCTATCTATCTATCTATCTATCTATCTATCTATCGAGACAGGGTTTCTCTGTGTAGCCTTGGCTGTCTTCAAACTTGTTCTGTAGGCCAAACTAGCCTTGTACTCACAGATCTCCTATCCTCTGCCTTCCTCCCAAGTGCTAGGATTAAAGGCTTGTGCTACCACTGCATAGTTATTTTATCATCATTATTAATTATTATAAAAAATAGATTCTCATGGTCTTTTTAGCTCAGCTCTCCTTGAATTCATGATCCTTCTGCCTCAGGCTTCCAAATACTGGAGTTCATTCATATGTCATCATGTCTGGTCAGTTGTTTTCTCTCTCTCTCTCTCTTTTTTAAGATTTATTTATTTATTCTGTCTACAGTGTTCTGACTGCATGTATGCCTACAGGCCAGAAGAGGGCACCAGATCTTATTACAGATGGTTGTGAGCCACCATGTGGGTACTGGGAATTGAACTCAGGACCTCTGGAAGAACAGTCACTGCTCTTAACTACTGAGCCATCTCTCCAGCCCCCAGTTGTTCTCTTTGAGGAGGACAATAGTAGGTAGCTTCATGGCTGAGGAGATAGGGACTCAAGCAGGGTCTTGAGTTTAGCCAACCCCCCCCCAAGTACCTGATCTTCAGTGAAGTGAATGTTATAGCCCTACGTTTTTTCTTCTAGAGGCTTCTGTCTCCCATTCCACACATTCTATCCTTGACCCTCATCTAGAGTCTACTCTTCGCACCCCTGTATATGGTTCCTGGCTCTGGCCATCAGTCTGGCATTACCTGACCCTAGCTAGAGGTGATAGCATCTTTCGGTGCCTCTGCTGGAACCTGGTGGTCTAGGACAGTGAAAGCTTTGTCTACCAACTCTGTCCCTGTTGTGTGTATTCCATCAGGGCATGCTCTCTAGTTGAAGGTCAGGCAGAGGTTTGTGACTTTCCAGTTGCTGAAGACCAGTGATATCAGCACCTATGTAGAGCCTGGAGGGAGGGGACACTGGAGACTGGTTCAACTGGCCCAGAGTGTGGTGTGAGGGAGGACCAATTTTTTTTAATATCATTGACACTGATTCACAAAGGTGAGAACTCACCAAAGTAATTTCCTAATGGTTCCCATTGGCAGTGATATAGGTTCAGGCTAGAGGTCTGTACAAGGTCAGGGACTGAGAGCTTGGGAATTGTCCTCTAGACGCACACTAACCCAGAAGCAGGAGGATCTCTGAGGGGTCCCTTGTGAATTAAGTTGGAACAAGTACAAGGTCTGAGTCTCACATGTACTATATGTGGTACCAACCATTGATGTTAAAGCCCCCTGTGCTCTAACCCTTCCCTTTATACAGCCACTCCAAGGAAACAGTGGAGTGAAATTGCTGGCTAGGGAGTTCCAGCTTCCTGCATCCCCACAGTGATGCTTTGTCTCCCTTGTCCTGGAATGCTCCAGATCCAGAATGACCGAGATATCCTGGGGTGCTTTGGGTGTGAGCATGGAACAGGGAACAAAGAGACTGCTAGAAAGTGTCTAATGTGTGTTTTGCCCTGTAGCTTGCTGTTCTCCAGACCGGCTGCTGGCCTTCTTGCTGCCCAGGCTGGACACCAGCAATGAGAGGCTCCGTGTGGGTACCCTGCAGATCCTGAGGCACATCATCAACTCAGCTGGTGAGTGTCTGCTGTGACTGCAGGATGGCCATCTGTGCCATGTCCAGCATAGGGCAATACTAGGATAATGTCCATCTGACAGATGAGAGTAGTGTCCTGCTTTGAATTACTATTAATCATAGTATTTTACCTTAGTGGTATTCACCATTGAACTTGTCTTTATTATTACTTCTTTGTTAAGACACCATGACCATGGCAACTTCTAAAAGAAAAGGTTTGTTTGGAGGTGGGGCAAGGGAGAGTAAGCATGTAGAAACAGTAATGGAATAGGCTTTTGAAACCTCAGAGCCCTCCCCTAATGACACACCTCCTCCAACAAGGTCAAACCTTCTACTCCTTCCCAAACTCTTCTACCAACTGGGGACCAAGCATTCAAATATATATGAGCCTATGGGATCGTTCTCCTTCAAACTACCACATAACGTAGAACTTAGGGTTCCACAGGTGCTTGGTAAGTGTTCTGCCTGTAAGCAACACTTGCAGCCCCAAGTTTCCTACCTTCTCCCCTTCCCCCATTTTTCAAGACAGAGTTTCTCTGTGTAGCCCTGGCTGTACTGGAACTCACTTTGTAGATCACGCTGGCCTTGAACCTCACCAAAATATAAACCCATCTATACAACTGTGATTATCTTTTTGAAACTTATTGCTAATCAAATAAATCTCCCTTAAAAGTAGGAAACTTGGGCCGGGAGGTGGTACCACACCCCTGTAATCCCAGCACTCGGGAGGCAGAGGCAGGCAGATCTCTGTGAGTTCGAGACCAGCCTGGTCTACAAGAGCGAGTTCCAGG